CGGTGATCCACAGTCAAACTGCCACCGAAACCGGCCACACCACAAAAACCTGCACAACAACCACTACCTGCACCACCAACCACCACCACCACCACCTAACCCCCCTCCCCCAAAAAAAACCGACGTCACCACAACCTCACCACCGCAGCCAACTCCAACCTCACCAACAGAAACAAAAACCAAAGTCTGCACCACCTCATTGCCACCACCACCACCACCACCGCTGACCACCGCACAGTAGATTGCATAAAAAACAAAAAAATTGTAGACTCTAGTAGATCGGCGTTGTAGATTGGACCAATTCGACCATCGCAAATTCAACCACCGCACAGTGAGGCATCACAGTGAGGTTGGTCTTCGTCACAGTGAGGAGTCGACGAAGACGATAGAGAGAGAGAGGAGGCGTCGCAGTGGTCTTCGTCGACGGAGACCGGAGATGAGAGAGAGAGAAAGGAGGCGGGAAGAGAGAGAAAGAGGGAGATGAGAGTCGGTAAATGATTTTTAGGGTTCGTGATGAAATTAGTATATATAATATATAATATTTAAATATTAAATATCTGATTTTTGAACAATGAAACCTTCAATCTGATTTTTGAATAGTGANCCTTCACCCCTAATTTTTGAATTTGGATCTTCAAAGGTAAGGTTTTGTGTAATTTTCCCTTTCATTAACTCTATGCTTTGGGCTTCACAAAAGCCCATTTAACTCATTCTCCAACACCTATTGTAGTCTCCAACTCATCATCTTCCGCTCTGTGTTTCCCTTTCTTCTGCAAATGTTGCTGCCGTGATCTTGGCCATAAATTTCTACATATTACTATCACAAGATTCAAAATAAATGGGTTTGTTGCCACCACAAATGCAAGCAAGAAACAATACTCCACCGTCCGTCGTCTTCACCCTTTTGCTGTCGTGTCCGATTGCACAACCAAGAATCCAATCTGTATCATGTGTCACGTCGTGTCGACATGGATACTTCTCCATTTTTTAAGAGTCCGAACATCATAGGTTATTAGGGTTTATTTACTAGATTCTTTAGGATTTTATTACGTTTATTTACTAAATTCTCTATAATTTGATTAGATATTTCCTATTTAGAATAGTTTTTTGAAACTCTATATAAAGGGAGCTTATGCTTTGTAATAGATCCTGCTTTGATAATGAAATAAAAATATTTTCTCTCTTAAATTCTACTCCTCTCTCTAATTCTCCCTTTCTATCTCTCTTGTTTTATCTTCCTCCGCTTCTCTTTCCCCCTCCTTTCTCTTCTTCTCCCCCTTCTCCTATAGTTGTTTGAATGTATCCTACTTCAAATAAATTCAAATGGAACAACTATCATGGAGAATTAACAAATTAGCTCCCATATTGCAAAAGGTATTGTCAACCGTACTCGATACATATCATTCAACCGCATGCACAAGTAAATTTCAGGTTCTTATTAGTAGAACTCTTTAAACAATCGGAATTTTCGTGCAACAGCTTCAAAATGGTTCTTTTTTCATAATGGTAGTTCAAATTAATATATAGTAAAGATGTATAACTCTTTAAGAGGTTCAGATTACATACATAAAACAAAGGCAAGAATGTAACTGTGAGATGTGAACAAATTAAATATCGTCTTCTTACTCTTTAATCATAAAGATTAAAACAACTCATTAGAATTGACACAGAACATTTAAAATATCTGAAGATAAGGTAAAACAAGCTTCCATGAGTTTGAGAATACTTTGCCCTCCCCCAACCCACAAGTGGAGGTGTCAATCTGGGTGGTCCTGGTCGGGTCTGTCCGTCAACATATGAACCCGATAACAGTCCGCGTGAAAAAAAGCCTGTCTGCTACAGGTTCCGGGCTGGTTCCAAGTCGGCCCACAAATTTTGGACTACAATCCAGACCCACCAGTTGACTCATTCGGGTCAAGCCCATGCGGGTTACGGGTCGCGCAGGTCACGATTTGTTCCGATTTGGCCCGTATTATTGTATAAATAAAATAATAAAAATATAGAATTTTTCATATTTATAGTAAAAAAAAAATTTTTTTGTTAAATGTAAACTAAGAATTGAACAAAATGATAAAATCATATTTATACCAAGAAATGTTTATATAGAATTCAAATTTAATATTACATGAATTATTTATAACTTTGCACAGTTAAATTTAACTTAAACAAATAACAACTAAATGTATTTCTAATTACTATTATCAAATATTTATAACATAAGTACATCCCAACTGCTATCTCCCTCCCTTTTTTTTCAAATTTTTTTACATTTTTTTCACGAGTCAGCGGATTAACTGCGGCCCATGAAGGTGCAACCTGCGAAGCCCGCGGGTTGCACCTCCTTGACCCATTAACCACCCGCTCGGGTCACAGGTCGGCTCACGGTCCCGGGTCGATCCGGGCCGATTTTCACAGGTCTGACCGGCCTGTCCGTCTCAACACCTCTACCCACAAGGTAAAGAAATTGTAGAACAGGCTATGAAAGGACGGCATAAGTAGTGAAAATTTAGGATTAGACTAGATAAAGTATGATGTAGAAAACTTTAGACATGCAGCACGTTAAGGGTT